ATATTGCATTAAAAGGATTTCCGTGCTCTTTTATACGTTAAAGGATTATTTCAATCCAATCGACAGGTTCTACAAATGTAAATCGAGACGAGCGATGATGTTAAAAATGCACAAAGCAAAATCCAAATCGGGTTATATAATAATGTTTGAAATTTGTTCATGCTTATTTGATGAGTTTGCATTATGAAAAATACTTCCTACTCCGTAATTCGATTTAAAATTCTCATTGACGACCGACTGGATGTAATCCGCTTTTAACGCGAATAAATCGTTTTACATTCGCGGTCAATGATACACAAGTGCCCAAAATAAAATTACCAATTTTTGATATTATTTCAATCGACCCATTCTGTAAATCTGATTTTATACGATATAAAGGAGAAATAGTCAGAAATTATTCCTGTGAGAATACGCGTACAGATGTTTCATCTACTAATACAAACACATGATTATATACATTTTTTAACTTATATATATTATATTTTCATATATTATAAATATTAAACATTTGATTATCAAATTTGAATATGTCAATATAAAATCGTATCTGTGATATATAAATATATAATAGAATATAATATTAAAAAGAGTGTGTATGTGTGTGTGTGTGAATTAAAAAATAACATGTTCTTTTTCTGATATATCTCTGTTACATATCTCTGAAAATTGGGTGGGTTTACTGATGTCATAGTGGACAGCAGATTGTACCGGATAATATCGACCAACAAGTATGTATACGACTGGTAAAGACATTTGTTTTTTTGTCAGATATATCACATTAATACACCGGAAGACATAAATGAGTTCCTTATTTTTACTTTCCTTAAGTGCTAATGTGTCTTACATGCTCGTTTTGTTTCTCGCATGTTCAACGTGAATGTCGTTTTTTTATTTCGACGATTTTTTATAACCGCGTTGCTTTTTCACGAACTACAATATTATTTTATTTTTCTAAAGAAAGGATTAATCTGTTGCGTTATGTACATTATGTTTTAAAAGATTACGCTTAAAAACCGGCTTGTTAGGATCTCGTTAACATGAATATTTTAGAGAGAATTTTATATGAAATTCGTCATACCATATATTTTGTCAATAAAACCATTTATGTTTAAAAACACACAATTAATGGCAGAAATAATTTTTAAATCCGCTGAAGTAATTTTAAACAACTTTTTCACATTAAAATTTCATATCTCGAAATTTTTCATTTTTAATCTTGCCATATATTGCGAATGTGTTGATTGAACAGATCGTATGCAGGCAATTTTCGAGATGTAAAATGTAGTAAAATTTGATAGCTACTATTATTTTTTTTATTTTTTTATCAATACGAGCGAATAAAAACTCTGGTTAAAACACGGAAATTTATTTGCATGATAGAGGAAAAAGACGCAAATAGGATCAGATGAGATTTTACTATATTGTTACAATATTATATTTAAATAAAATTTATTATATTTATAGAGAAATTATTTCGTAAATTAAATAGTAAAATATTATTGAGATTAGATAGGTCATTTCATTATTAATTTTATCATTGGTTAATTTAATGCAAATGGAAGGCAATTATTAATTTGTCAGTAAAAATTTAATAAAAATAAATTTTGCAATAAACAAGATCTTTCGTTATGCAATCTTATTTATATTATAGTGGACATTCTTTTAATAGTATCTCAATCCGGCTTGATTTCATGGAGATCGATTTGCCTTCAAATTTCCGCTTACGTGTCATAAATAATTCCGCAATTTATCGTGCGGTCCTTTGCACGAAACTATCTGTGTTTGCATGTATTAAGGATGAAATACGATGCTGTTAACCGTAACGGACAAGTTTTATGGACCAGACGGTATGAAAGGAAGGCAAGTAGATAAACGGAACGACATTTATTACCGGTAGCGACATTTAAGAAATCTTATCAATGATTAATGTTCAATCGATGGTTGTAGTTGTTTCTTTTTGGATAGCTATTATAACGTACAACGTACACGTATTTGTTAACTCAGGAAGTAAAGATGTTCGCGTATAAAAAGAAGAGGGGTGAGTTTTCTTTTTACCATAAGTTAAATATGATCCGCGAAAGAAAGGAAAACGCTGTATGAGTTAAATTGTTGGAAAACTATTACAATTGATAAAGCATTATTACAACTAATTAATTATTATAAAATATCTTTCTCTGCTATAAATATTTAAATAATTATAAAATCAATAAATATTTTTTAAATATTACAATATCTAATTATATTTATTCTTCACAAATTTTGCATATTTACTTCTTTTCTCTTTAATGTATGCGTAAAATGTGTCTAACTTTTTAAATCACGATTCAATGAAATCCTGCATTTATTCTTCCACTTTCCTTCAAATACAAGGAATAGATCTAGTTTGAGTCGAAAAATAGGAAGAAAAAAATTTAAGGGATTACGTAAAATATCATTAAATAAAGCAAAAATTCTTTTTTCATAACTAAGAAATAGGAAGTGAAATACGGAACATTTTTGTTTCTTATGGTTTCGCCAAGAAGTATATACCATCGCTGTCGCGTGCACGTGCACGCGTGCATGCTTCCTGGCGTCTCGGAACGATGGCGGGAATTTGGTCCTTTGCCAACCGCCTATGTATCCTTGGACGATTGCTTCCTTCTTATTTCACGTCGAGGAGGATGGAATAAAAAGGAGTTATCGGTGGTAAATCTTTTCACAAAAAGGGGAAGAGAGAAAGAGAGAGAGAGACAGAGAGAGAAATAAGTTATATCACACCGTTACGTGACGGTTGCAATTGCTTGGAAGCACTACGGTTCTTTCTGTCCGCGGGTGATCAATTTTCACGAAATAAATTAGCAAACAGAAAAGAATTTTTAATTAAAGAAAGATTTATTTATAAACAAATATTTCTTTTGTAAAAATATTGAAAGTTCTCGCGTTAATAATATAAATTTTATATAAATTATATGAATTGTGTGTTTAAATGTTAAGCAATAAAAGGAAGAGAAAGCTTATATATAATTAATACAAATTTAAAGTAAATAACTTGATCATAATTCAAATAATCTTACGCAATATACATATAATGACTGAGAAGAGGGTCGCTGTTGATCTCTGGATTTTCTTCGGTAATGTTCCGACCGCAATTCTGTCTTGTATTAGTTAGAAGGATCATCATGATGTAAGTAGGATCATTGGGGAAAGATGTTGTGGGATGCTGGATATTCGCGCTTCCAAGATAACACAGACTATGACGCCGCGCCACATAAACCCGTTTGTTTTATGCCCTCATCTAGTAAGAACAGCGCTGTTCGTCTAGATGCAACAGCAGTTCGCTCTTTGCGTGCTTTGCTTCACAGAGGGAAGGTAGCGTAGCGAGGAATTTTATTAGCCGTGAGAGCAGCGACTGCGATATCCCGTAAATGTAAACAAACACTTTTCCCATGTCTACTCTACAACAAATACAACGTACACAAACTTCACTTTTTTTAATGTTACTTTATAACATCTGAAAAAAAGCATTAAAATAGTGAAATTTTAATTTGTTATATCTCCTAAATCAATACCGTTTGCCACTTGATTTTTGCGGGGAATTACTCAGAACACTCCTTCCTAACAGCTTTCAACATATCTAAGTGGTGATTAAATCGGTAAAGTGTGACCTTTTATGTATTGTTGCATATTCAAAGTCTTTTAAAATATCCAATTAATAATTAATTTGTTAATTAAAGTAGTAAAGATTTGCTCTATAAAATATAATTTAATCTTAAAGCGTAAATATTATCTTATATCAAACTAACGTTTTTATAGTAACTACAAAAAAATTTTATAAATCATGACTTTTTTTATTTACTAGAACACACAAGCGCGCGTCACGCGCGCACGATTTGCCATACCACATTTGATTTTCTTATATATTGTATGCAAATACATTAATATATCATTTTATACTTTATAATAGCCAATATATTTTATAATAGTCAATATATTTTAAATTTATATCGATATAAAATAATAATAATATATTCATATTTTTAGTTTTTAATCTATACGTTTAATATATCACCACTGCAATTTTTGAAAAACAGATACGTTCCGTGTAAACAGAGAATTATTAACAAATAGGAACAAATGGAAATTGTTTAATGATTTTCTCAGATTCTATTTCGGTTTATATTGATACTGATCTATATATATCGGCATAAAATTTCTCCTTCTCTATGTATACAAATATATACTCACCCGGTAGCAACAAATCCCCATTTCACAGTTCAATAACAAGGATACAAGCTCAAAGTGCGAATATTAATTGGAAACAATTAGCATGCTGTTTCGTCTGCAATATAGGAAGCTCATCTATCAATTGTACCAGATGAATCCACTGATTGAGATAAGCAGCCAGTTGCTGATTGCGACGAGAATGCGCTCGTTATCGGCAATTTTTAGTCGCAATGCGGATTAATTACTTTCGCAACTTAGTTCGCAATGATAATTTTGCTCCACGGTGCGTGTGACATATAAATATGTTTAAAACTAAATTCCAAAAGAAAAATTAAATTATTTGGTTTTGCTCGTTGGTTGTTTATTTTTAATATTCTTATCTCTATATATCTATATATATTCTCGTACTACATTTGTCGCGACTACATTTGTCAAAACCCGTCATCTCTAATTTCTATACTTTGGGATTGGATACTGGCTTCTTGGATGTTCGCTGACGGCCCAACGTTAAACTGTAAATTAGAAGAAAAAAAGGTACGTCATTAACTCTTCATGCGCATTACTTATGATTATAAATACTTTAAATTAAAAATGTTATATCACATAAATACACTACATTTCTGTCAATGAGATTACAGCCTTACTAAAAGTAAAAAAAAGTAAAGAAGATAAAAATAGAAAAGGAGCATAAAAATATGAAAATGTAAATAAATTTTTACGATTTGATATTTCTCTCCTTACATAAATTTTAATAATTTTTGGGGGATTGAATATAATGAAGACAATGACGATGTGTATTCCCATTATTATTTTTCATTACTTTATTAAGTTGTCAATGTTAACAAGAACAATGTACATCGTGATTGTTGGTAACAATTATGGATAATTACTGCAAGCGATAGTAGTTATGATTTATATATAATTCATACTATGTATCACATTACTGAGGTAAATTGCTTACAAAAAAATATTCTTAATTTTACTTAAATAATGAAATCATTACGTTAATGTCGCGGCTTTTGATTAATAAATGTTTAATTAATAAATCTTATTGATGTTCCGGAATAGTGCATGACGCATTAACATATGCATAACACGATAGCGTGGTAACTTGTTGATTAGATCGCGTTGCATTGCTCATCAACCTAGAAACTCGATGATTTGCAAATTTATATGTAATAAATGAAATGTTATTCTGTTTTTCCGTGTTCGAATATTTAGGAATGTTGTATTTCTTCTTATTTTATTATTTTTTTAACAGACGTAAGCTTTCAATTTATTAAAATTTTTTAAATTAATCTTTTAATATATAAATTACTTATAATATTCGCGATTAATTTAGTGTCTAATAATAAAATTACTTATGATCGTGATGGATAGACCACGATCCAAAATAGTCACTTCTTAATCTTAATCGTACAATAGATGTCTGCACAGGTATTTAAGACTTACGAGATCGCATAAAATCGCTCACTGGCTTCAAGAGACATTACTCCGCATTAGTCCAATAGCGATCGAAAAACGGTCCACCATCGCAAACCACTGCTACAATACTGGCATCGCAACGAAGCGATTGCTTCAAAGGAAACTATCGGCACCATTAACGCTTTACGTTCCAGACGTCTCTTACAAAGTGTTACGACAAAGGAGCATTCCTACACTTGCAAAAGCGTAATATAACTTCTAAACTTGATGATAAATTGAGACTGAATTTGTACATACAATTATAAAAAACACAAAAGCATTTTTAATTAAATAAAAGGTTGGGGAAAAATTTTCTATATATTTCTTTTAACTTTGCATTTAGATTTTTTGAATTGTAAAATTAGTTATATTTAGCATATATATAAATCGCATAATTGATTGTAGAAGAGACCTTTATCGCAGCCGTATGTTCTATAAAACTTTTATGTTTTGGCAGTTTTACGAAATTACCAGACGCTTTTTCAAGGCATATCACGACATATTCTCACAAAACACATTTCTAAAAAATATTTTCAGATCATTCTCGAATTTTTTTATTCGCACAAAGCATTTTAAAAAATTTATAAAATATATACATATATTTTCAATAATATTCTCAAACGGAAAATACTATTTTCAGAAGATTCTTAATATATTTCTAAAAAATCCTCAGAATATTGTCAGGCATGTTACAGCTTTCTTTCGAAAATACTTTTCATTATCATTGATAGACTTATTCGCTGTCAGAGACACAAATGTTTCCGCTCTGCAATCGCTCTGTGTCCGCATGAACCTTGCCGTTACCAGAATAAGACACCTTGCTGTACTTGTAGGCGGATTTGCGTTTGCGGATGCACCAGGCGAGCACGAGATAAATGATGATGACAATCATGAGGCCCAAGTTGATCACGAACACTAGGGTCATCCTGTAGAACCATTCCGTGGACTGCATCTTCCAGACAAGGCCGCTCAGCACACACAGTGTCCTTCCGTTGCTCCATGTAAATACGGAATCCACATGGCAAGTGATGCAGTCAGCGTCGCTAGGTCCTTTGCACGACAGGCACGAATAATGGCATGTGATGCAGAATACACCGGATTCGTCGTCATCCCGGACCGCGTAAGTCCCGGACGGGCACTGTCGCAAGCAGCTGCCGTTACTGTGGTACCAATCCGGTTTGCACACTGAAAAATTAGATATACTATTGACGCTCTTCGTCTTTGTCCAGTCGAGCTTGTATTGTGTTGTTGTGTTGTTGCTGTTGTTGTTATTGCGGTGTGATGCATTATACCGTGTCGCGCTCGCGAGTCGATTGCATGTCGTCGTGATAAATATGGATGGCATTGCGTAAAAAGAAACCATATTGATGTGATTCAGATAACTGGAAAACCATCTTTCTCATCAAAAATAATTATCGCTTTTTTTATTAATTTGATTGAAGTTGTGATAGTAATTTTCTTCGATAGTTAAGCAAATATTTTTACTTTTATAAATTTAATTAGCGTCATTAAATCGTTCAGATGTGTACATATACATAATCACACAACGCATAATTATGTGTATTTCAGTGTGAGTTCATATAACGTAAAAATATATAAATATGTATATAATAAAATATCTTAAAATAAGATAAGCGATACCAGAATTTAAGATTATTCAAGTATATGCGGATTAGGCTTAGGCGAATGTCGATTATTTTACGGAATTTACTAATGTTCAAAGTTATTATTGCAAGGATTTGTTCAACTCATATCACATATCAAACACTATTAAAGTCAATATTACAATTTTCAAAACTTGCAAAGCATGCGAAAGCATATATGAGCCATGCTATACTCCAAATCATATGTAAACATAGCATAAAATAATGTTTATCTGAACGCGCAATATATCAAACAAATAAAACATACATAAACGCTATTATATTACATTTGTATGTGCAGCTTTTATTCTATGTGACAATATGACAAGTCTATAAAATTTATCAGTTTCATCTACATACATATACTATAATAATTATAGGTATGTATGTATATTATATATATAATAAATTTCAATAAATTATATATTAATATAAATAAATTTTATACCATCATTTGTCAATGCTTATTCATGTATTATATATAGAGTCTTGTTTGTAATGAAATAACACTCATTACTCTGTATAAAATAAAACACAAAAAACGATGATAGAAT